GAATGTGTCTGGGAAAATTTCACGTAATGTCCCGGTGAAAGTTGCAGGAATTTTCCAGGACGTTTTTCAGAAGGGACCAAAAATCTTTCAGAAAGGTGGCAGGGGGCTCTGAAAGGTGTTTGGAGGTGTTTAGGAGGTGTTCAAGAGCTGTCTAGAAGCCGCGTCCAGGAAGTGTCCAGGAATGTCCAGGAAGTGTCCAGGAAGTGTCCAGGAAGTGTCCAGGAAGTGTCCAGGAAGTGTCCAAGGAGTGTCCAGGAAGTGTCCAGGAAGTGTCCAGGTAGCGTCCAGGAAGTGTCCAGGTAGCGTCCAGGAAGTGTCCAGGTAGCGTCCAGGAAGTGTCCAGGTAGCGTCCAGGAAGTGTCCAGGAAGTGTCCAGGAAGTGTCCAGGAAGTGTCCAGGAAGTGTCCAGGAAGTGTCCAGGAAGTGTCCAGGAAGTGTCCAGGAAGTGTCTAGGAAGTGTCCAGGAAGTGTCCAGGAAGTGTCCAGGAAGTGTCCAAGGAATGTCCAGGTAGTGTCCAGGAAGTGTCCAGGAAGTGTCCAGGAAGTGTCCAGGAAGTGTCCAGGAAGTGTCCAAGGAATGTCCAGGTAGTGTCCAGGAAGTGTCCAGGAAGTGTCCAGGAAGTGTCCAGGAAGTGTCCAGGAAGTGTCCAGGAAGTGTCCAGGAAGTGTCCAGGAAGTGTCCAGGAAGTGTCCAAGGAATGTCCAGGTAGTGTCCAGGAAGTGTCCAGGAAGTGTCCAGGAAGTGTCCAGGAAGTGTCCAGGAAGTGTCCAGGTAGTGTCCAGGAAGTGTCCAAGGAATGTCCAGGAAGTGTCCAGGAAGTGTCCAGGAAGTGTCCAGGAAGTGTCCAGGAAGTGTCCGGAGAGGCGGACCTGCCGGTCGACGCGGCCCAGAAACACGAGCCCGCCCCCCTCCTCGCGCCTCGCCCGGTCGCCAGTCAAGTAGGCGCGCCTGCACCGGGAGCCACTCACACCTCGGCTACACCTCCGCTGTATCTCGGCTACACCTCAGCTACACCTCGGCTACACCTCCGCTGTACGCGTGTAGTCTCCATGATCTGGATGCTAGGATGTGAAGCAAGAGAAAGTAGTGCCACTCCCTTTTGTCTTGGCATCCATCGACACAGCGGGGTGAGAGCGCCTTCCGTCCGCGAGGAGAACAAAGGCGGAGGCGGTGCGGTGTGGCAGGTGCAAGTACCCGCGCGCGAGCTGACGGCCAGTGATTGCAAGCTGCCCCTCTCCAGGAGAAGCGACCGGCCTGCCGGGGCAGCGCAGCAGGCCGCGGTCAGCGATGTACACTGCAAGAGAGAGCGGCCTTTGATCCGTTGACGAGCGAGCGTGCGCCGCGACGCCGATCTCGGGTAACCTCGGGTGATCTCGGGTACTATCGGGGTATCTCGGGTGCTCTCGGGTACTCCGTGCGCCGCGACGACGCGTCGACGACCTCGAGCCCGCACCTAACAGTAGTGGTAGTAGTAGTAGGACTGTAGCAGTAGTAGTAGTAGTAGAAGACGGCCTCGAGCACGCACCCCGAGAGCGGTTCGCCGAGCAGCCGCGCCTGTCCGAGATCGAGATGAGGTTGATGAGATTGCCCGAGATGAGAGATCGAACCGAGATCACCCGAGATGAGGTTGCCCGAGATGAGATTGGCCAAGACTCAGCCGCGCCTCGGCCGCCGCAGCGCCCAGGTCGGCGCTGCCGCCTGGCGCGAGAGGCGGCGGTGCGACGCGGCGGGAGGCCTGGTAGACTGTGCACTCAGTGACGCCGTAGACGTTGTAGAGAGGCACCTCGCAGGGGTGGGGGTGGGGGTAGGGGTAGGGGTGGGGGTAGGGGTGGGGGTCGGGGTAGGGGTGGGGGTGGGGGTGGGGGTAGGGGTGGGGGTGGGGGTGGGGGTGGGGATGGGGGTGGGGGTGGGGGTGGGGGTGGGGGTAGGGGTGGGGGTAGGGGTAGGGGTGGGGGTAGGAAGGTAGGGGTAGGGGTAGGGGTGGGGGTAGGGTCAGGGGTAGATGCTGGAGAGCGGCACCTCGGCCGCCCATGCGGCGAGCATCTGCGGCGGCATCGGTTCGCCGCCGAGCGCGACGCACCTAACAGTAGTGATAGTAGTAGTCGTAGTCGTAAGCAACTTGTGCAAGAAGCACCCATCACAAACACCCGGCGTGGACCAGAAGGCTTTGGGTGCTAGCACGCGCGACGCCCTCAACGAGGCGCGCAGCGGGAGACATGGGGAGATATGGGGAGATCGCTGCAGGGGAGATATGGGGAGATCGCTGCACCTCAGCGAGGCGCGCAGCGGGAGATATGGGGAGATATGGGGAGATAGCACCTCAGCGAGGCGAGCAGCGTTGGCGCGGCGGAGAGCGGCACCGCGCCCCAGACGGCGGGGGTGGTGGTGACGTGCGTGGAGGAGGTGCGGGCGAGGGCGGTGTGCACCGACCCCCGCACCTGAGATGTGGGGAGATACGGGGAGATATGGGGAGATAGCGAGGGCGGTGTGCACCGACCCCCGCACCTGAGATGTGGGGAGATACGGGGAGATATGGGGAGATAGCGAGGGCGGTGTGCACCGACCCCCGCACCTGAGATGTGGGGAGATATGGGGAGATATGGGGAGATAGCGAGGGCGGTGTGCACCGACCCCCGCCACTCCTCGGTTAGGGTTAGGGTTAGGGTTAGGGTTAGGGTTAGGGTTAGGGTTGGGGTTGGGGTTAGGGTTAGGGTTAGGGTTAGGGTTGGCACCTCGCGCAGCGGCGGAAGCACCAGCGCCGCGCCCGCACACAGCGCGGTGAAGGCCTGCAATACACGGCGGGGGAGGGGGGGGGGGGGGGGGGGGTCCCACTGGGTGGGAATACGGCTGCCTGCCACTCCTACCCCAGGGCTCAATGGCAGCGGTGGTACCGGCAATAATCCGCACTAGTAATCAGCAGTGGTAGTAAGAGGGAGGGGACGCGCCTCGCCAATCGAAGGGTCGAAGGAGACGGCGGAAGCGAGCAGCACACGGCAGCCTCGCGCCACGCCGTGCGCCGCCGCGTTTGCGACAGCGTAGGCGGCGAGAGCGCGCCGCTCAACCGCACAGCCCTTCGGTTCGCCGGTCGAGCCAGACGTGTAGCAGACGTACGCGAGGCGAGGCCTACAGGGAAGTGTCCACGAAGTGTCCACGAAGTGCGGAGCCAGACGTGTAGCAGACGCACGCCAGGCGAGACCCGTCTGCCGCAGCGCGAAGGCGGGACGCCCAACCCTCCGACCCCCCGCCTCCCGCCCCTCTGCCTCCCGCCCCTCCTCCCTCCCCCCCGAGCAGCATCTCGCCGGCGTCCGCCTCGATCACCGCCACTTTCCCACCGGCGGCGCGTCGGACGGCCGCAACAGCCTCAGGCAGAGACCGGGCCGGCAGCGTGGCGACGGGCGGCACGAGAGCGGCGGCGGCGGCGGTGTCGTGCAGCACGTGCCTCAGCCGCTCGGCGGGCGAGGCGGGGTCGCAGAGCACAAACGCGCACCCGGCGAGGAGTGCGGCGAGCGGGCCGATCACGACGAGAGGACCATCCGCCGCGACCACGGCCACAAACGGAGGGTCGACCGGCTGGCCGCCGCTCGGCGTGGCCTCCGGAGCACCCGCACCACGCGCCAGGGCGCCGGCGATGCGATCCGCCAGACGCGAAGCAGCGCTGATCAGCTGAGGGAGCGTCATCTCGCGCGGCGGGTCCGAGGTCGCGTCGACGAGGGCGGTCGAGGCTGCGCCACCCTCGGACTCGATCGCTAACGCTAGAAGCGTGAGCGGATCCAGCTCCATGGATGGTAAGCGTGTGAACAGTCAGCTTACTGTGTTTCGCCTCTCTCGAGGTTCTCGAGGTGGATATCCTTTGGCCGCGTTGGGTAGCGAGGATTGGTGTTTCGCCTATCTATCTATCTTCAGCTTGTTTTAGTATTGCGACTCGCCGCTTTCCTCCCGCTGTGATTCTGTGTGAGCTCAGAGAGAGAGAGATTTTGTTTGTTTTGTGAGCTCTGAGTCTTGTCTGCCAACAATACACCTAAAACTAGCAGGCTGGCTCGCTAGTCGCTCGCCGGGCCCGCGCAGCACGCGCGGGCCTTTTGCGTTGTGGTTGATAAGGTGGCACCTTCGGCAGTGCGTTTCTTTTCAAGCATGTGTATCGCAGCAGCGCATCTCAGTCGTTCTTCACACGGCCATCGCAGAGCAGGTCGTGAATGATGCCTGTGGCGGGGGTGGGCGGGTGCACGGAGCTAAGTGCCTCGCCACCCTCGCAGGAGTCGCTTAGGTAGGCGGCTCCCGTGGTGTACCTGTGTTAGTGCCAGTGCGCGCCAGTCCCGTGCCCAGTGTTGTGCGAGGGAGTTGGGTTGTGAGGGGGGCCGGCGACGAGGCGCCAACGAGCGAGGAGCCCGCGCCATCAGAGGGACGCGCCGCTGCGAGATGGAGGGCGGCGGTGACGGAGGCAAGGCGCGAGGAGGCGGCGGCGGCGGCGGCGGCGGCGGCGGCGGCGGCGGCGGCGGCGGCGGCGTCCGCTCGCGCCGGCCGCCCATGCGCTCGCGGGGCTCCCCGACGGCGCGGGCCTCTTGCTGATGGACCCAGCCGAGGTGCCCGACCAGTCGGAGTGGCGCTGACGCGCCGCGCGCGACCACCAGCCAGCTTTCCGGCCGGGCCGAGAACGGTGCCTCGAGAATGTAGACACTCCAAACAGTTGTCGAGTTTTTTCCCTCTTTTCGAGCGCCGCTGCTGCACACCCAGCCCACCAGTGATACTAGACGCACCAGATTCACCCCGTCGCGAGCTTGACCGCGACCCCGATGACCGCCCACAGGTGGCTGATCGCGGCTCCACTCATCGCTGCCTCTGGGCCGGCGCGGGGCCCCCCGGAGGCACCGTGCGCCGCGCCGCAGTGCGGAAACGGGGCCCCGGCTCCACTAGTCTCCACTAGCACCAACTTCCCGATTAAGTACGGTTAAGTAGAGGGCAGATTTGGAAAGATCTCGAGGAGTACATACAGATAGACCCTCCAACCATCAGAAATCTCCGACCTGATCGGTCGTACTGACCGCCGACAGATCACTCCAGACAGCAGACAGGCCGACGTCTGCACGCGGCCGGCCGGGCGAGAGGCTTGACACGATCCGACCCTGCGACCCTGACGCTGCTGCTCTAGCTATCAGCCATGCACTGCTGACTGCTGCCACAATGTGCGACCTGTGCTGGCCCACTTGGCGGCCTTCCCGGTCAGTGGTGAGGCGCAGTTCAGAGCTGTCGATGGCGCGATGCCGCACTGGTCCCACATTGGTGACACGATACCACCACGTTTGCCGGTCCAAGAGAGAGGCACCGGCGCTGTCCTGAGAAGGTGCGTGGTCCCTCTTGACTGCCCATGCGCGCGAGGCTGTGTAGGCATAGCCTCGAGAGTGCCAGCAGCCAATCCGAGGTGACGCGCATTGCGCCAGAAGCGTGCACACGATGGAAGGACACCTTCCTACTGGCCGTACGATCAGGTCGTCACTGAATGCTTGATACTAAGGCCGCGAGCTATGCAGGTGATCAATTGTGCATCATGGCACGGTCAGCTGCGCCGACAGGCTGTCGCAAGGCGTGATAGCATGGCCGCAAGTATGAGCGGTAGCCCCGCGAGGTACGAGCGGGGCGGTAGCCTTTCTTCACACCGGAGTACTGGTGCATCCAGCCCTCACACACAGAGTCTGGCTCTGCTGTGAAAACGAAAGAGGACGTACGCGCCTACTTTCAAGACAACGCGTTCCTACGACGTGCCTATGGCTGAGCCGCCCAATGGCGCTCGCCCACTTGCCTACCACAGCCGAGCGCCTCGCGCCCGGCTCTGGGCCCCGCGACAACGCTTCGCGCAGTCTTGACAATGGAAACCGACCGGCTCCGCTCCTGCCAGCGGGCCGTCCTGCTTCTGCGACGATTCTGACAGAAAAGTTTTATCGGCCAAGTTGCTTCAGAGCCAACCACAGCTCGAACATGCAGCAGAGAGGGTGAAGTGAGGGTGCCAGGCGGTGCGCCTACATCGGGGCTGCCACGCGGGATCGCTTCCCGACCGTCGCGAGCACTCTGGAAATCCAGTGCCTCTCACCCTCGCACTTCTCTACGCATGTGCCCTTCACCATCCCGTGGGCCCACTGCGGGCCGGATGGAGTGGCGCAGGCTCGCATCACATGCGTGTGAGCGCAGCGGCCTCGCCGAGATACACTCTGATGCGCAGGGGTGCGGACCCGAGGACCGCCAGCCACCAACGGTGCGCTCATAAAACCACTCGCCACCACGGCTCGAGTTGGGAGAAGGGGTGCGGACCCGAGGACCGCCAGCCACCGTCGGTGCGCTCATGAGACCACTCGCCACCACGGCTCGAGCTGGGAGAAGGGGTGCGGACCCGAGGACCGCCAGCCACCATCGGTGCGCTCATGAGACCACTCGCCACCACGGCTCGAGTTGGGAGAAGGGGTGCGGACCCGAGGACCGCCAGCCACCGTCGGTGCGCTCATGAGACCACTCGCCACCACGGCTCGAGTTGGGAGAAAGGGTGCGGACCCGAGGACCGCCAGCCACCAGCAGTGCGCTCATGAGACCACTCGCCACCACGGCTCGAGTTGGGAGAGGGGGTGCGGACCCGAGGACCGCCAGCCACCAGCAGTGCGCTCATGAGACCACTCGCCACTTCTACGGCTCGAGCCCGGAGAAAGGGTGGCTAGCCACCGCGAGGAACAGGTGAGCTGATGCGAGCCGCTCGCCGCCGCCGAGGCGCGAGACGGAGAGGGGTGCGGACCCGAAGACCGCTAGCGCCGTCATTGCGCACTAGTGACTCCACTACAGTCGCTCTCGTGCGCTCCTGTCGCTCTCGTGCGCTCAGGGGAAGGATGAAATTTGTACACATCATGTAAACGAATGATCTCGATCCCTCCACACGGGACTCAATGGATACGAGCTCTCTCGATCCTAACCCACTTCAATACTTACTCGATGGAGGTTCAGCGGGTTAGGGTCCCCGTCGGTACACCAACCCGACCGGCGCGGGACCCTATCGGAGCCCCGCGTTCCTCATATCCATTGAGCCCCACGTTGTGGACGGCGAGCTCCCTACTACTGATCACCCCAGCATGACGGGGATGCATGAATGGAGGATGGGAAGAATGAGCGGTAGCCCCGCGAGGTACGAGCGGGGCGGTAGCCTTTCTTCACACCGGAGTACTGGTGCATCCAGCCCTCACACACAGAGTCTGGCTCTGCTGTGAAAACGAAAGAGGACGTACGCGCCTACTTTCAAGACAACGCGTTCCTACGACGTGCCTATGGCTGAGCCGCCCAATGGCGCTCGCCCACTTGCCTACCACAGCCGAGCGCCTCGCGCCCGGCTCTGGGCCCCGCGACAACGCTTCGCGCACCCACCGACCTTCCCCTTCTCTGCCACCATGCAGGGCGTGAGGGCGATGGCGTCAAACCTCGCCTGTTCACATCTATCATTCACAGGTCGCTCACAGAGCACCTGTCGCGTGTGTCGCCCCCCCGCGCTCTGCGCTCGCTGGGCGCCCATCGCAGTCGATCGAGGGCGGGGGCACGCCCACGATAATGACCCAATGACGATCGGCCCCCCGCGCTAGCCGCTCGCTGGGTGCCTCTCGCCGACGATCGAGGGCGTGGCACGCCCACGACAGCAACTCAATGATAGCGTCGGAGCCTTGCCTATTCACTCGCACCCTCCCGAGTGCCCTCGAGGCGCTTCATCGCCCGCGACGCGCCGCCGTGTGGCGCGCGACGCAAACCAGAGACAGCTGCTCGGGTCGATCGAGCGCGATGCTTGGCTCCGCCGCGCTGAGCGACCTCTCGGCGCGCCACACATGCGCTCGCCGCCTTCGCGAGGCGCCCTGCGCCTCCTCTACACGCACCGCACGCCTTCGCGCCGCGTGCCTTTGGCGAGAAGGCCGCCTGCAGCCGCAGCCGCCTCTCCGCCTCTCACACGAGCATGCCTCATCTCGGCATACTCAGACGTTCATAGCGGCCGCCCGCTCGAGCGCGCCCCGCGCCTCGCTAGGGCTCACCGTGCCGCTGTAGCGCGCCCCTCAGCCAGACAGGCACCCTCCCGAGTGCCCTCGAGGCGCTTCATCGCCCGCGACGCGCCGCCGTGTGGCGCACGACGCAAACCAGAGGCAGCTGCTCGAGTCGATCGAGCGCGACGCTCTACTTCGCTGCGTCGAACGACCTCTCGGCGCGCCACACATGCGCTCGCCGCCTTCGCGAGGCACCCTCCCGAGTGCCCTCGAGGCGCCCCCTAGCTCGCGGCGTGCCTCCTCGTGGCGCGAGATGCAGACCAGAGGCGGCTGCTCGAGTCGATCGAGCACGACGCTCTACTTCGCTGCGTCGAACGACCTCTCGGCGCGCCACACATGCGCTGGCCGCCTTCGCGAGGCGGGCCGCGCCTCCTCTACACGCACCGCACGCCTTCGCGCCGCGTGCCTTTGGCGAGAAGGCCGCCTGCAGCCGCAGCCGCCTCTCCGCCTCTCACACGAGCATGCCTCATCTCGGCATACCCAGAGACTCATAGCGGCCGCCCGCTCGAGCGCGCCCGCTCGAGCGCGCCCCGCGCCTCGCTAGGGCTCACCGTGCCGCTGTAGCGCGCCCCTCAGCCGCACAGGCACCCTCCCGAGTGCCCTCGAGGCGCTTCATCGCCCGCGACGCGCCGCCGTGTGGCGCGCGACGCGAACCAGAGATAGCTGCTCGAGTCGATCGAGCACGACGCTCTACTTCGCTGCGTCGAACGACCTCTCGG